GCATGTGGGATCTTCCCGGACTGGGGCACGAACCCGTGTCCCCTGCATCGGCAGGCGGACTCTTAACCACTGCGCCACCAGGGAAGCCCAATCACCCCCATTTTACAAATAAGGAAACAGAGGCACAAAGGGTCTAATCAACTTCTCCAAGTTCCCGCATCTGGTGAGTTCAAGGCCAGGCAGCGTGGCCCCAGGACCTGCGCTCCAGGCCGCCATATCCTACGCTCTTGCCTCCATCATGTCCCTGCTCTCGTTGGGGATCACAGTTCCTGGATGGAAGCAATAGCTCCTCATCGACGGTCTTCAATCCAGCCTCAAACAGGCAGATGGCATAGGCCCACCATCAATACTTTTAGATTCAAAAGAAGCATAAAATCCCAAAGAAAGTCCTGAATTTAGGAAAAGATTCTCACCAATCAGAATACTTTTATGAAATTTTATTTTTAGGCATATCCTTAAAACTCTTTAATTACTTCTTTACTCTTAAAAATTTTGATGGTTTTTTCATAACCAAAGATGATCACTTGTGAGCAAAAGATACTGTTATGATTCTCATTTTTCAAAAGATTAAGCATATTCTTCATTATATTATTAGAAATAAATTCTTACAGATGGTTCCAGAAATACGTTTAATTTTAAAACTCAGTGGGGCTCTGAAATCTAATTAATGTTTCTGCTAAATGTTACTTTACAGAAAGCCAAGCTGTGAAAAATTAAGATTGATCTAAGATGCCACTTGGTACTTTCTTGTTCTTCTGCACTTCCCCCCCCCCCGCCCCCCGACTTCTTCAAAGCATAATCCCTTTCTCCACCAACAGGAAAACACCAAATAATTCAAGCCCATCCAAGAGTACAATAACATACACTTTGCCAGGAAAAACCCTGCTGAGATCTAGCAGGTCTTTTGCTATCTTTCATTGTTATGACTATTAAATTGTCAATAAATCACTTTAAGAAATAGCTATTCTTTTCTTTAAAGGCACATTTTTGTATTCTAATGCTCATCATATATACAGAGAGATTATTTTAAATGCTACACATTCTCACATGCAAGGATAAAACAGACGCACACAATTTTCAGAACCATTAAGTATACATTTCTTTCCCCTACAGCAAAAAAAAAAAAAAGGAAAAAAAATACACTTTGGTAAAGCTCCCAGGCTGTAGGATTTTAAAATTATACATCAGTAGTTCAATCAGGTTTAAGTGTTAACTCCATAACTCTGCCCGATCAACTACACCAGACTTGCATGCACTCATGAATCTATAATAAATGGATACAGTATACTTTATCAGCAAACATGCTATAGCTTAACAACTCCAGAATTTATTCTGAGGTAAGGAGTAACTGAAAACACATGTGACAAATGTAAACTTAAATGCTCTAGAAAAACAGGCTAAGGAACATCATCTTGCCATGGACTCAGTAACACCAAAACAGACTAGAATATAACAGCAAGTTGGAATCTCACACAGAAGTTCAGCAGATACTTCAAACTCCGCACACCCAAAACGATTTCCCTAAACATGATGCTAATTACCCCTCCCTTTCCTACTACGAATTAAGAGCATCACCACCCACTAAGTCAATCAACCTAGAAGCTTAGGTTGTCTTCAGTCTTCCTTGTGTCTTCTTTCCACACCCAACCTACACTCTGCTGGTCCCATCCACTTCTGCTTCCATCACATCCTCTGCCCTTTTTCTGTCACTCCTCATCCCTAGATGAGGGCAGTAACTCCTCACAGGTAGCCCTGGGTGGCTTCAAGCCAGCCTCCACGCTGCTATGACCTTTTAAAAGTGAGTCCTAGCTTAAAATCTTTCAATAGCTACAAATAAAGTTCAAATCTCTACACGGTGGGCCCTTCACAATATGGCCCAAACTCACCTTCTAGTTTCACTTCCTGCTACTTTTTTTTTTTTTTTCCTGCTACTTTTATGATCTGGCCACCTTGAACTATTTGTCATTCCCAACACACAATGTATTTTCATGCCTCTCTGACCAGCGTCTGCTTTTCATCTGCCTGTGATGCTCTTCCTCACCATCATCTGGCAAAACCCTATGCATCCTCTCAAGACCCAGTCAAATGTCAAAGGTTCAAAACCTTTTCCAAATTCCTCCATCCTCCAGGCAAAATAAACTGTTTCTTCAGCATTTCATGGCATGGACTAAGGACTCAGTTGGCCTGAGTTCTGCCCCTTCTTATCTGTTTCATTTGGGACAAGTTACGTAATCTTTCTGTATCTTAGTTTCCCTATCTATAAAATGAGAATTATTATGATTATTGTTATAGCACCTAACACCACTTGTGTTCTAGTTGGTCTAAATGCCCAAATATTTATTATTATTATTATTATTAAAGGATGAACTCCTTGAGTACAGGAACCATATCATATACTCTTGTTTTAATTTCATCACCTAAAACTGTGACTGGTGTATAAGAAAAGTTAAATAAACATTTTTAAACATAATTTACATCAAGAGAGACAAGCAAACAATACTATGAAGCAATTATGTAATAGCATTTTGTGGTCTTGGAAGCAGAGGGGTGGGAAGGAGAATGAATATGACTAGACCAACCAAAATCCTAAGTACTTTTGATAGCAGTTCGATCACTATAATACAGAAGTAAACATAAGTACAATAGTATCTCTAATGTAGTATAATAAAGATATGGATCATTCCATCATGTTGGCAACGCTTTTCAAAGTGCTGCTAAAATGTGAAACTACTGATGTTAGGAATCTATACAAAGCTGATATTAATAACTCTGTTGCCTTTATACACTGACATCTTACTTCTCCCAATTTTTATTGAAATATTTCAAGCCTACAGAAAAGTGGAAGACCAATGCACCATATACTTATATATGCTTCACCAAAATCCATCAATTATTAACATTTTGCCAGATTTAATCTATTTA